TCATTTGGTTTTGTTGAAAATCCCTCGGATAACTGTATATACTAGAAGGTGAGTGGGAGTAAAATTTGCTTTCTTGTTTTATATGTGGATGACATCTTACTTGCCACCAATGATAAGGGGATGCTTCGTGATGTGAAACAATTTCTTTCTAAAAACTTTGATATGAAAGATATGGGTGATGCCTCTTATGTTATTGGCATTAAAATTCAGAGAGATAGGTCCCGGGGTATACTGGGTTTATCTCAAGAAACCTATATAAACAAAGTTTTAGAGAGATTTCATATGCAAAATTGTTCACCGAACGCTGCTCCCATATCTAAGGGGGATAGATTCAGTTTGGACCAATGTCCGAAAAATGATTTGGAGAAGGAATCCATGGAGAACATCCCTTATGCTGCAGCAGTTGGATGTCTTGGATATATCCAAGTCTGTACGAGGCCGGATATTGCTTTTGCGGTTGGAATGCTAGGGCGTTACCAACACAATCCGGGGTTGGACCATTGGAGAGCTGTAAAGAAGGTTCTAAGGTATCTCAAAGGAACCAAAGGTTACAAGCTTGGGTTTAGGCAGACGGACAATTTAGATCTTGTCAGTTATTCAGACGCGGACTTTGCTGGCTGTGTTGATTCTCGAAAATCAACTTCAGGGTGCGTCTTCATTATGGCCGGTGGGGCTATCTCATGGAGAAGTGTTAAACAGTCCTTAATAGCTACTTCTACCATGGAAGCCGAGTTCGTTTCCTGTTTCGAGGCTACTTCACAGGGTGTTTGGCTAAAGAATTTTATCTCTGGGCTTAGAATTATGGATTCTATATCTAAGCCATTGAAAGTCTACTGTGACAACTCAGCTGCAGTCTTCCTAGCTAAGAACGACAAAAGTGGAAGTCGAACTAAGCACATCGACATCAAGTTCTTAGCAATTAAGGAGCGTGTCAAAAATAAAGTTGTATTCATTGAACACATTCATACTGAGTTGATGTTAGCAGATCCCTTGACTAAAGGCATGCCACCATTTAAGTTCAAGGATCTGATTCAGAAAATGGGACTTTCGCCCAATTTGTAATTTGTATATATACATTCAGTTTTAATAAAATTCTTTAGCATTCAGACATTTTCTCAATTAAGTGTGTACACCTTCATTTACTTTATATTGATGAGAAAATGTACTTCAGGGACTTGGAATAAACATAGGGTTTATTTCGTTGGGTTTTGTTTCCTAATTAAGTGCTCAATGGCAGTTTGCATTTGATCATAATGGATACTACTCGTGCTAATGAGAACATATCATTATGGTTGGTGTTTTTCTGTTATTGAGTGGTAGTGCTTGCACCATGTGGGAGAATGTAACGTTTATCCGTTACTATTATTATAACATTAGGATAAGTTATGATAATATTCAGTATTTGATATGTGGTGCAACACTAATAACCTAACAACTAGACTACCATTATGATTAGGAGTCTAGTTAGGGTTTAGGAGACCTAAAGACAATCAACCACAATGATGGCCAGTGGTTATATAAGGTCACTAGTCCTCTCACTGCTCACATTACATACCTCATACACCATCTAGAGAGAGCTGAGTAAAGTGAGAGACAAAGCGCTTATCATCTCTGCAGCAGTTCGGATCGCTCAACCGTAAGAAGAACTATGGCTGGAGGTTAGTACGATCCTATTATCACATATAAGATTATGCATGTGATATTTTAGTCTAACACTTCACCCATATTAACATTCTCAACATTATTATTTTTATCCATAGTATGCTGATATTTATATGCTAATTACTTATATATATATATTATTAATAAACATCATCAACAACAACAACAACAACAAAACTATTTCATTATAAATTCATAACAATATTGAACAATAAAATTTATAATAAAAGAATTGATCAAATAAAATATTTAAAAATATAATTACAAGTTACATAAAATAAAAAAATAAAAATCTAATATTAATATATATATATATATATATATATATATATATATATATATATATATATATATATATATATATATATATATATATATATATATAATTATACTTGATATATTGCTAGGCATCATACGCAAAGTACTATTATTTGCAATAGCAATTTGAGACTGCGAACAACAACAAAGTGCTACTGTTTGCAACCCCAAATTGTTGTTGCGGACAGTAGTTCCATTGTTTAAAAAGGAAAAATATATATTACGAATATAAATATAAAAAGAATAAAAATCAAAATATAAGTATTTATATGAATATAATGAAACATATACTAAAATTTAATGATGAAAAAATTACTTTGTTCATGTATTTAGGGAGAATTAGAGAAAGTTAGGGATAAAAAATTCATAGAAAAAATAAAAATCAATATAAACAAGCAATAATGAAGTAAAAATAATATTATTTTGAATTTTTAGATGAAGATTGTAAAATTTAGGAGAGAGAGAAAAATTAATAGAGTTTAGGTATGAGAAAAATATAGGATAATGAAGAAAAAAAAATAATTTTATTGAATTTAGATATGCTTATAAAGTTTAAATAGGGAGAAAAAAAATAGAGTTTAAATAGAGAGAGAAAACATTCAAAGTTGTTAGAAAGAAAATTTTGAAATCTTGGGGTTGATGGTTGGATTTCAACTATTTATATTTGAGAAGGAAAAATCTACAAAGTCTTAAAATTAAAAAGTCTACAAAAGTTTATAACTTTTTGAATACCACATGACTTTTAAAGACTCTTTAAAAGTCTTAATCGAATATCACACGACTTTTAAAGATTCTTTAAAAATCTTGATTGAATACTGTTTAACTTTTAAAGACTCTCTAAAAATTTGAATTGAATACCTCCAAACTTTTAAAGTTCATAAAAGTGTTTAAAATTCTATGAAAATCATGATTAAATACACTCCCTTAATTAAGTTCGGTTAGGGCCATTGTTTCAATAAAAATTGAGGTCCTGTGCAATATTTTAATTTGGGGCCATTTTTAAGTAATTTCTATATATAAATAATAGTTGTTCAAAAAGTTGTATCAAAATATAAATATTGTATAAAAATATATATAAAATTTCAATTAAAAAGTGACATGCGTCGTGCATATTTAGACACAAAATCATTTACCAAACTTTTGATATCAACTTATTCCAAAAGCTCATTTTCAATGAAGGTTAAAGCCATTCCATCGAGTCTCTCTTGCAACATACTTTATCGTAAGTAAGATTTCAACAATTTCAACTTTGAAAAACTCATTTCTGCAGAGGCAACAGTAATTGGGATAGTCAGCAATATTCGATATGCAATAGTAGCATTTAGGAAACAATCCATCCCATCTGTTTCAAAGAATTCAATATACTCAGTGCCCCTATATTTTCTTTCGATAAAATTTCTCTAAGCAATTTTAGCTCAATATACAATTAATTTCCATCAATATCACTACACTGTTCATTGAGATTTGGGAATTGAATTAAAAAAGAAAAATAATGGCAATTGCTAATTAGCAGAAGGTCTCGGTCGAAGATAGTAATTGTTATTTGAGATTTTGAATTGAGAATTGCCATTCTTAATTAACAATGGTACTTGTCAATTGAGATTTAAGAATTGGGAGCTGTTAAAAATAGGTAAGGGAGGAATGGATATATATATATATATATGTGTGTGTGTGTGTGTGTGTGTGTGTGTGTGTGTGTGTGTGTGTGTGTCAATTGGACTCAATTTCACACTGTTACAAATTGACCCAATCTCCCTGCACTTAGCATGAAGTCCTGTATATTATGTATACATATAATTTTATTTTTTTTTAATATGGGGCCCCCCAGAAATTTGGGGGCTTGTGCGGTCGCACATGTTAGACATGCTTAGAGCCGGCCTTGATAATTAATATTATATAATAAATGCAAAAATTAAAGTTCAAAATTTATAATAAAACTAAATATAATTTAAATTTATTCATCTTCATTGTAATTTCACAACTTACCTTGGCCCTCCTCAAAATAAGTGTACATTTTAAAATTTTGCGCGTCACTTACAGTGAACAAAAACAAATTTTCAACTTAAAAAAAAAAAATTCTAGTAATATAAAATAAATAAACAAATTAAAGTTTAGAATCCGTTACAAAAATTAGTATTATATAAATATTATAAAATAATATCTTAATCGTTCAAAATTTTTAAGGTAAATAACTATTTATCAAAATTTTAAATAAATTTCATTTATCTCATATTAAAATCAACAATTAAAATATTGGGCGGACCAACTTTATTTTATATGGATGGTGTGTGTATTTATGTATATGTACATTTAATTGGAATATGTGACAAGTACAAATTTTAAACTCTACTCCAATCCACCACTTACTATTACCCAATGAATAAATTTACGCAAGCAAGATTTAGTGAATATATATGTGGTTTGGACTTTGGATTAAATTGTTCCAGCCATGTGTTTATAATTATTTCTTTTATTGACATTCATAAATATAGTGAGAAAATGTACTATTCATAAATACAATTAAAAATAATTAATCAATTATAATATAAAGTAAATGCATGTCTATAGTTGTGTGATATTAGTTCGTGGCTCGATGCTAAATAATAAATAATTTTGAATTTGGTCTCAATTAGTGCAATTCGAGTCCTTTTACATTAAAAAGGTAGGTTCTCATTATCACATTTGACAATATGTCAAAGCAAATTGTAATAAAAGACTTAGAATTTTTTGAATATATGAATTAGTTTCCTATTAATTCTTTTACTTATAAATAGGAAATTAACTATATTAGCATGTGAAATTGCACCATTCATGATGTAATATTTAGTTTTAATTTTACTTTTTTTTTTGTGTTTATTTTTATTGTCAAAAGTAATTTTCTTATTACCATTATATATCCTATTTCTCTGTATAAATCTTTGGAAAAAAAAATTAAGGTGAAATATTGTAGGGAAAAGACAATGCCCGATACAAGATTGTATTAAGTGTACAAGATTATAATATTTTTTTTCGAAGACTGGTTAATGATACAAATTAGCTTCGCTCCACATTTGCCGGTTGACTCTTGCAATGAAATCTTCAACCTTCTCGTTTAACTCCCACAGTTGTAAAGCATGATCCTCTTCCACCTCCTCCATTGCACCACAATCTTCGTGGTTTTCCATTATTGCTCCTTTGTTCTTTTCCTTCATTTTGGAAACTGCCCAAAGAAGAGGAGTCTGCAGGCTTCTCTCACTCTTGGCTAGCTTTGACTCACCAACAAGGACAAAAATGATGATATTTCCAAGTACAAACAGGAACTTGGGGCTCAAAACGTGGGAATAAAGGCTAGGAATAGAAAGAAAGATGGTTTTAATGGAGGGTAAACAGAGAAGGAAGAAAAAGACCAGAGAAGATACCAAAGCTGGTAGGGTGTAGAGAGTGAGGTTTCCAAGAAACTGATGAATCTTGTTGCACTTCTTCATTGCTTATAGGCAAAGCTGGTAATGCAAGTTGTGGGGATGATTCTAATTGGGAGCAAATAAACTGCATTATATTATGGCCTTGTGGGTCATAGGTGCTGTATATATAGCAGACTGGGGTAAAGTGGAGAATACTTTTGCAGATTCCTTTTACTTTTTTTTTTTTTTTTTTTCCCCATCCACTAGATCAAGTACTACTATGATATTTTGTAGATCCAATTCTACGAATGCTGCTTTGGTGTTTTAAATTATAATATAAAGTAAGAATTAAGAGGCTTTACTTCTTGGATTGGAAAAGCAAGCATGTTGGGTAAACCAACTGGTTTGATAATAAATCATAAAGCAGTAAGTTCGACTCTCATGGAAATACTTTCTTAGTTTGAGCTAGTCAGCTATGGACAATCAAGGTTAGTTTATCTCATTGGCGTTACATCTATGTGAGAAGGGTTTCCAAATGCATTGTCAGTCATTCACGAGAAGTGTGAGAGAAAAATAAGGTGAAGTTTTTTTTTTTTTGTTTTTTTTTTTTGTTTTTTTTTTAAATATTCAAAACTTAAAAAGTTTTCAATAATTATAAAATTGACCACGTTATCTTTTTACTCGCCCAAGTCTGCACCATACAACCGCCATCTACCACTCCCAGGATGGACTGAGAACCGAAGCTGGTGTCCCCACCAGTCTAGTGGACCACTCTTCCGTCCTTTTACATTTTTTCAAATTATATTCCATTTCTTGATAACAAACACGCCCTTAGCCCATTCACAAGAAAAGCCATCTTCCTTTGCTTTATTGGATCGGCCCTCCTTGCCTAAGTTCACAATCATTCTCCAATCCCATCTAGGCGATAACCCATATCCTATTACGCGTCCCCCACTTCTTCTGGTCATTTATGATGATTAGAGAAAGTAAAGGATTGGAATCGAACACCCAACCTCCATCTCCAATTTCAAAATACCAAGGAATAATTACGAACCACATTTTTTTCTTTTGTTAGCGACTCCTTAGTTTTGATTCCTCCTCTTTTCCATACATTTTGCTACCTTATTCCAATCAATAATGGAGTTTTTTTAGCTCCCATAGTTGTATGAGGAGTTCGATCTCCTTCTTTAAAGTGTGATACTTGTTTGTGTCATGAGCATATCAATGAATACGCATAAAGGCTCGGTTTTTGTTGCCACGTGACATTTTCAGGCAAGAAAATTTGTACTTGAATTCCCCATTGTGCTCTTATGAATGTCGCCGATGTGGTTCCGGTTGGTCTGGGTACAACTGAAATACTATTGTTGCGGGCCATGTCTTTGCCGAAAGCCATGTGCTCACTGTAAAAAAACAACTCAATTCTGAAATGCGGTACTGTATTGCTGACTTTGCGTCCCTTGTTTCCGCTTTTACCGCACACGCACGTCGCTGCTTGCTTAAACTATGATTGGATAGTTGTTCTGTTGGTTGTGGTCTACGAATTTTACCATCGCTTTTCATTTGAGTTGGGATAGATATACAATTCTTCTCGTTTTTGTCTCAGGGAATTGTTCAACGTTTGCCCAAACTGTTGCCCTCAAATTCGATGTTTCTTTGCCAGTAAATTGGATTCTTATGTTTAGATTTTATGAATATATAGCCTGCATAACTTTTTTATGTAACTAATTTGATCTGCGGCTGTGCTTTATGCTTTGCGCTTGTTCGTCACGTCTTCGGCCGATGTTCCTTTGCGTCTTAGCATCTTTATTATGGAACCTCTGAATCGTCGGTAATATACAGTACACAATTTGCGACTGTGCGTTATTTTTCCTTCTACTGTTTGTTCTCAATTTTAATTTTTGTTGTTTTATGCTGCTCGCTTTCCTGTTAGCTGACTCTGATCTCATTACACCCTGGGTTTTGCAGATACGCGATCTTTGTTTGTTCTGGTGACTCAATTTTCGGTAAGATTGACTGCTACTTGCACCAGTCGTTTGATCTGGGTTCTTTCATTGAGTTCTGGTCTTTCGGGTTATGTTGCAGCTCAGATCAGATTTTGTGGTCATCAATTCGTCTCTGGTATATACACTTTAATTAATAGTCGCGTTTGCTCTGTTATGATTATCTTTTTTGTTCTTGGCGTTCGTGTCGCCGTTGCATTTATTTTTTAAAGGTTTTGGTCGGGCACGTGGTTTCCGTCCATTATCCCCTAAATGATTCTAATTGCCGGTGTGTTCTGATTGTGATGCACACGGTTTTCGCTGATGAATTCGGGCCTGTTCCCAGCCTGTGTATTCCGATCTGGTTGTTGTCCTGATGAGGTTCCTCATTGCTGTTGAGCCGGCGTACTCCCGGGTTCCATTTCTGCGACTACACTTCTTGGGTCTTGTTTACCCAGGTCGACTGCTTTTAGCCGGAATATTGCATGCGCTGATCCGGCTGAAGTCTTTGACTGTTCAGGCTCTCTCTTTTTTACTGTTGAAATTCACGCGTGGTTTGGATACTGTGGTCGTGCTGGCTTAACAATGCGCCTCTTTTGCGCTCGAAACATTGGTGTGATGAATACGACGCCGTCTGTGTCGTTTCCTTAACGATTTGTCACTAATTATTTCTCGGGGACTGTTCTGAATCTTTAAATTCGTTACGGATTGCACTGGCCCGGCTTTGGTTGACTAAGTTATTATATTGGGCTTCTATGCCATTTGTCTTTAGTTATAAATTGCAAGATAACAAGCGCACAATATTCAGCGCTCTCGTTGCGTATTCTGTTGTTCTTTTGTTGTTCTGTATTCTTTACTTGTTAATGCGTTAATGGCCTCTGATGGAATAATATAATATGTCTGCCATATTATTATTATTATTATTATTATTATTATTATTATTATTATTATTATGTATAATAATAATGATATTAATTAGTCAAAGAGAAGAGGTCATCATGGCAAGAAAATAGGGAAGGCTACGGGAAGTTACAACTGATGACATTATATAAAGATTCCGGGATGCAGACAAAGGGGGGGCCAGTCTCAAATATTAAACTTCTCTTCTACATATACTCTCCTATCTTCTTCCATATATTTCAGGGCCATAGCCTACATACCTGTGTACATGTACTACACCTACAAACTAGTGGATTTCGGCTTGGCTTAGCCCAAAAAGGCTCGTGGTTTTCACCATATTGGTTTCCACGTTAAATATCTTTGTGTCCTGCATATTTGTTTCTTATTTATTGATTCCCTGCAATCCTTTTATCATTTATATTTTTTCCATGGAGATGTTTATTCATTAATTGGATTAATTAACACGGACCCCCGGATTAATTAATTCCATCAATGGTGCTCTTCTTGAGAGCGGCTGTACAAGCTTAAGCGTGCTCTCTCCTATCTACCCTTAGCTGATTAAACGCTCAAGATTAATTTGCTTTTCCTTTCATATATCACAACCGCAAAATATATCATTCGTCTCTATAATATTCATATAATTATATTGTTCATCTTTTCTCATGCATAAGCAAACCTCGTTACTCCATCCAATTCCCATTCATTCATTCCGCACATGTCTCTAATATCTAAAGCTTTGTTGCATTTCCACACTACAATTCACCTCCATCAGTGACAGCTTCGGAATACATGCAGCTCTCAAATCTCTTCAACGCCGCAAGGTTAATCTGTTTAGTGCCGTTCTTCATCGGAGCATCGGCGTTATACCAGTGCCGAGGTGGGTTCCGCGCAAAGGCAAGGTGGGGCGGCGGCTTCGGTTCTCCAGTTCGGGTGCACATCGGATTGCGCCCGTCTACTGCTGTGTTGGTGCTTCGCCTCCAGATTCATTGTTGCCATTGGACGTCACAAGGCAGCAAATATCAGTGTTAGGCCCTGCGGAGTCGAGGCTCGCGTCTTAGTGGTCGACTGCTGCCTCCGCGGATGCAGTTTCGGTGGTTGGCTGTGCAGGGAGTGTCACCGGTCGGCCACGCATGAGCAAGATGGTGAGAGCGCACGGTTTGCTTTATCCACCTCGTACGCTGGCGTATCTTGTCCGGCAAGGAGAAGATGAAAGTTCGCTGGCCGTAGATGATCCTGCGATGTTCGACCGGTGAATGCCGAAACAATTTTCGGAGAATACAAAGTTGACGCGGATCGGTACTCTGTAAGGGAAGGATAGTGACGTGATATATATGCAATTCATTATCTTCTCATGGGTCGTGTATCCGTTACGATTAGTAAAGATAAGTTTTATTATCATTTATTATTACTATTATATTATTATTATTAATAATAATATTATTATTAGTCGAATTGTGAGTGTGACCAACTGTCAATTTATTCGAAAATTGTTTTTGTCACTTATATAACGTAATATGGTAAGCTCTGTGCTACCAATTATATTGCGAGGCGAGCCCTGCGCTGCCACCACCGAAATTTTACGGTAAGCTCAGCGCTACCTCTTAAATTTCACGGTAGCTTCGCGCTGCATCTTACAACAACAATTCCGAAGAATAAGTTTGGTGTTGGTCACAATAAATTAAAAGAAGATAGAGATTTTTGAACCTATCTTCAATTTCAATTTCAAATTATTTAAATCAATACTAGTGGCATGACCCACTAATCATGTGTTATTTAGCATGCAGGGAACGACTTCCGTGAACTAATGGGTGCTCCGTGCGCCTAATCGTGACTCATGGGTGCTCCGTGCGCCTATTCATGGCTCATGGGTGCTCCGTACACCTAATCGTAACTTTCATATGATCTCCTCACTCCGAGCAAGGAATGTCACAACTTTGGTGCCCCGTGCACAAACATGTAGTCCAGACTACAATTTAGTAAACATCAGTTTCTACTTTCTTATACTGACAAATACTTGCAGTTAAGAAAGTGGGGGACTCATGATGGAATAATATAATATGCCTGTCATATTATTATTATTATTATTATTATTATTATTATTATTATTATTATTATTATCATTATTATATTATTATTATTATTATTATGTATAATAATAATGATATTAATTAGTCAAAGAGAAAAGGTCATCATGGCAAGAAAATA